TTCCTGTATAGCCTGTCATGGTTATACGTTTCCCTACTTGCTTACGTAGCATCAGGTATTTCTCAAGCAGTGATCGCCTTATCGTGCTTTTAGGTGCTTTTATTATCTGGTACCTTCCCTCATCCTAGGTTTCTGGTTCGTGTGCTGGCCACTGGCCTGGCCACACTGCAGAAGCCTGAATCAAGTTTCTGATAAGCAAGCATTTTATTCCAACACTCAAGGAAATCTACAAGGTCAAAGCACAGAGGAGCACTTTGATCCTGAAAGCTTTGTAAATTCAGGATCAGTTTCCTGCTCAAATGGTATACAAGAGACTCTGTGTGCTTTACAAAGTGAATAAATTCAATTAAAATGCAATAGCAAAATGATCTTTAAAATAATAAATAAATTCCAAGAATGATGGAGTTGGAATATAACTCAGGAGTGACATCTGGGCGCCAGCCACCCCCTAGGATTGATGAAAACTCTTATCACCTCATGCAAGCTTGTAGAGCAAGGTCTTTAGTCCTTCCCGAAAACAGGGAGTATAGCTCTGTGGGGAGAATATTCCAAAGGGCAGGGGGCAACCACAGAGAAGGCTCTCCTCCTGGGCCCCATCAGCCGACATTCTCTTGCTGACAGGGTCCACAAAATGCCCCCTCTGCCTGACCGGGCAGGACGGGTTGATGTAATGGGGGTGAGAAGGTTCCTCTTGTTACCTGGACCGATGGCATGTAGTGCTTGAAAGGTGGTAACCAACACCTTGAATTGGACTCAGAAGCAAACTGGCACCCAATGCAGATCCCCCAGGAAAGGTGTTATATGAGGCATCCTAGGGGGACCCAAGATTATTCGCACAGCCACATTTTGAACCAGCTGTAGCTTCTGGATACTCTTCAAGGGAACACATTGTAATAGTCTAACCAAGAGATGTTAAGGGATGAGTGATTGAATGGAGAGCCTCCCAATCCCAGAAGGGGCATAACTGGTGCACAACATGAAGGTGGGAGAAGGACCTCCCGGCCACATCTGCCACCTGATCCTTGAGCCAGAGTCGTGAGTCCAGGAGGACACCCAGATTATGCATCGGGCCTGTCTGGGGCAGTACAACCCTCTCCAGAACCAAAGATGGTAAATTCCCTGATACAGAGGGACCTCCAGAATAAATTTGCTGCTTCACATTCTTCTTAAGGATTAAGAAAATTTGCCTTGACTGGTGTTGGGGCTTTTTGAGAATCATGAAAGGTAGGTTGAAGGAACTCTACAACTCAATGCGCTTGGTTGTAAAGTGATTTATTGGGTTTATTATGTGTCTAGCTTTTTCAATTCAAGCTTTGTCTTTTGGACAGCATTCTTCATTGCCTAGCCTGCATCAGATTAACTCTGGTTTCCTTAACAATAAATACTTATGGGAAAGTAGTTTATCAAAACGGGTGAACTACCATATGTCCTCCCACTCAGACTCTATTGTGACTATTAAAATAATTTTATATGGGTGTTTCTGCATGTTACTTTTGAGTTTTCATTCTAGATACATTTTTCAGAGTTGAAGTTTTTTTAAAAAAAATCTTCACCCTTGAAAATCTGCACCTCTTCGTATAACAATTTGATGGGCTTACGACTGGTTCATCATCCAAATATCATGTCCGTAAGATAGGGTTAAAAATTTCTAGAAGGTGAGAGAAGACACTGGCATTTTGATGCAGAAGACTATGGGAACTGAACAGCAGTTTGGTGCTCAAATGAACCGTATGACCATTATCATTACAAGACATGGCTTTACCTCCTATAAAATAAACTTGCTGCTTCACTTATTTCTTAAGAAAATAAAAATTGTGCCTTGCCTGGCATTGGGATGTGTTCACCATTGGAAAACTATGTCTAAATTGTAGGATGAAGGAACTCTAGAAGGTCAAAGCACTGTGTGGCTCTTTTATCCTGAAGACTATGCAAATTCAGTGACAGCTTCCTGTTCAAAGGAGCCATATCACCTGCTCTCTTTCTACACCCAACAACACAGAGTTTGAGTGCTTGTCTGAATGTTTTCACATCAGTAAGACTCCTTCGATCCTTAGAGTGAGCAAAAATGACACCCTGGATAAACCTCATACTGTTAGCAGCAGTCCTCAGAGGTATTATTTTTCCCCTCCAAAAAGATTGTTATCCCCTTTTTCTGTGTGTTTACCTGCAGATATCTTATTAAACAACATTTCTTTCTAGGTGTCCAGTCAGAGGTCCAGCTGGTGGAGTCTGGAGGGGATGTGAGAAGACCTGGAGGCTCCCTCCGCCTCTCCTGCCAAGGGTCCGGATTCACCTTCAGCAGCTATAGCATGAACTGGGTGAGACAATATCCAGAGAAAGGACTGGAATGGGTGGCATTCATCAACCCCAGTTCCAGCACTATTTACTACTCAGACAAAGTCAAGGGGCGCTTCACCATCTCCAGGGACAATGCCAAAAGCCAGCTGTATCTGCAAATGAACACCCTCAAGCCGGAGGACACCGGACTCTATTACTGCGCAGGAGACACAGTGAGAGGAAGTGAATCCGAAGCCAAGCAAAAA